CTGATGTCTAATCCTTCCTAACACAGCTCACTGTCCCCTCCTCCACACCCCCGTCCCCATTCTGCCTCACTTTCTCCTTTTCTGAGTCCCACCATTTCCTACAATCAGTCCTGGCCTCAGATTACCACTCTTCAGGTTCCAGTGTTCCTTGGGTCCTCCCTCTCCCCTGATCCTCCTTTCTGATTGGGGCGGGGGTGTGAGCTGGAATTAAAACCAGCCTTTATTGGAGTCCTGGGGCTGGATTCTGCATTGTGCTTGGTGGTGTCATCGCACCTTCTCATTTCTGCTCTTTCTACTCTTTCTACTACTTCATCCTCTTCAAGCTCTAACCCCGAGAGCAGATGCTGACCCCGCTGGTGGAGGCCACTCCTTCCCCTCTACTGCTTCTCCATCTCCATCTCTCCATCTTCTGCTCCTAGCCTTTCCTGGAATGGGGCCCTAGCTCTGAGCTCTTGCCCTTTTCCTTGTCACCCCGGGCAGTGGCTGTAGCCTTCTCCTCCAGCTATAGTGGGCCCTGGTCAGTGTGGCAGGACAGACAGTGCAGTTCCTGCCCCAGGGTGGCAGTGGCAGATGCAGTGTGCTTGGCGTGCCCTGTGGGCTGATGTGGGTGCTGCCTGGAGGTTGGTTGGCACCCCTTGTAGGCTGGTGTGGGTGCCGCCTGGAGATGCTGTGGTGCTCGGTGGTGCCCAGTGCCCCACCTGGGACTTCCTCGCTGTGGCACTGCTGCCCACTTCCGGGGTGGTGAAACTGGGGTTCCAATTGGTGGAGTCTTCTTGCAAGGCACGTTTGCTTCTCCGGGAACTCAACTGTCCTGCCCGGCAGGCTGCTGTTGCCTAGGTCATCATATTCCCCACGGGGGCTGGATGGGCTCTGGCCTTAGTCTGCTCACCTGTTCTGGCGCCACTGCCTCTCCCTTGCTACAGCAGGAGGAGGTGATGGAGCGACCTCCAGGCACCAGGCGGCCGGGCTCCCCCAGCAGTGGGCGGGGCAGAGGAGAAAGACGCCAGGAAGCAGAAGGTCCCCGCTGGCTGCTGCTTTGCCTGCCACAGTGGAGAGCAAGGGGAAGAGAAGAGGCTCTCCTGCCTCCTGCCCTCCTCTAAGGGGCCTGCCCTGACTTTCCTGCCCAAAGCTACACAGTGTTCCTAATTCACACTGAGAGGAAGATGGGAGTCCAGTCATCTGGAGTGCTGTTTGGGTACTGGCTTCTCTGCTTTGTGTTGCCAGCTACCAGCACCACCCAGCAGGCCTCTGGAGGGGTAAGTGGGGGCATGGGCCACCCCAGAAACCAAAATGCTGGCTTAGGCCTTGGGTCCCATCCTTCCTCCTCCCCTTTCCACATATGACTTATTCTCGACTCAGGGAAGCACACAAGCCAGTCACTTATACTCTAGAGACACAAAATCCACTCCCACACCTGTAATTACCTGTCATCCCATACTTTACTTATCAACACAATTTCCTGTTGGTTTCATCCCCACATCATACACTACACTTGCACATGGGGCATACAATAATATGCCAATTCATACATCACACAAGTACATGCATGCATGCACATACACACAACCTGGGCAGACACACTCCTGTGTGCACACATCCCCCTAAATGCACACCTCCCCTCATGCACGCACCCTCCTCATGTTTCTACACATCTATATGTACACTCTTATTCTGCACACCAACATCTCTGTTGTCCAGTCTGGGAAGCAGCATTTATTTTCTTTTCTTTTTTTTTGAGACGGAGTCTCGCTCTGGAGTGCAGTGGCGCAATCTCAACTCATTGCAACCTCCACCTCCTGGGTTCAAGCAATTCTCCTGCCTCAATCTCCTGAGTAGCTGGGATTATAGGTGCTTGCCACCACGCCCAGCTAATTTTTTGTATTTTTAGTAGAGATGGGGTTTCACCATCTTGGCGAGGATGGTCTCGATCTCTTGACATCATGATCTACCTGCCTTGGCCTCCCAAAGTGCTGGGATTACAGGTGTGTGCCACCACATTTTTTTCTTTCTTTTTTTTTGAGAGGCTCCCTCTGTCGCCCAGGCTGGAGTGCAGTAACATGATCTCAGCTCACTGTAACCTCCGTCTCCCTGATTCAAGGGATTCTCCTGCCTCAGCCTCCCGTGTAGCTGGAATTACAGACACGCGCCACTACATGAGGCTAATTTTTGTATTTTTAGTAAGACAGGGTTTCACCATGTTGGCCAGGCTGGGTCTCAAACTCCTGACCTCAAGTGACCTGCCTGCCTTGGCCTCCCAAACTGCTGAGATTACAGGTGTGAGTCACTATGCCTATCTGGAAGCAGCATTTCTATATTAGGAGATGTGATGGGTCATTTTTTCTGTAAAGAGAAAAACATGTAATCTAGACCAACTTTTCTCAACCTCAGCTTTAGTAATGTGTGGCCAGATAATTTTTTGTTGGGAAGACAGGGGTATCCTGTTTGCTGGAGGGTGTGAAACAGCATCCCTGCCTTCCACCCACAGATGCCAGTAGCATACCATCCAATTACAGTAACCCAAAATGTCTCCCGATAATACCAGGTGTCCCTGGGAGTGGGGAGGACAAAATCGCCCACCTATTGAGGGGCACTGGCTTCAACAGAGTGCTTAGCCAAGGCTTCAGGGAGAGGGATTATCTTGATACCAATGACCAGGCTGTAGCAGGTTGCAGATATTTTACTTTATTATTATATTTTTGTGGAGAAAACATTGTTCTTTGTTGCCCAGGCTGATCTTGAACTCCTGGGTTTGAGCAATTCTCCAACCTCAGCCTCCCTCCTAAAGTGCTGAGATTATAGGCATGAGCCACCACATTTGGTTTCAAAGATCATTTCTGGAGTCCAGTGGTTACTCCATCCTGCCTCTAAAGAAGAAGGTAGAGAAACATCATCCTGTACTTAAGGACAAAGTTTTTATTTTTTGTTTGTTTATTTAATTATTTATTCTGAGACAGAGGCTTGCTCTGTTGCCCAGGCTGGAGTGCAGTGGCATGATCTTGGCTCACTGCAACCTCCACCTCCTGGGTTCAAGCAATTCTTCTGCCTCAGCCTCCAAAGTAGGTGGGATTACAGGCATGAACCACCACACCCAGCTAATTTTTGTATTTTTAGTAGAGAGAGAGTTTCCCCATGTTGGCCAGGCTGGTCTCAAATGCCTGACCTCAAGTGATCCACCTGCATTGGCCTCCCAAAGTGCTGGGATTACAGGCTTGAGCCAGTGTGCCAGCCGATGATGGATTCTAACAGGCCATTTTAAAGATGAGGGAAACTAAGGCTAGGAGAAGGGAATGATGGCCTTTGGGCCACACAGCTTGGGAGTACAGAGCCCAAGTTCATCTCACGCAAATGCAGAACAAACTTTCTGATAGAAACAGTGGGGAAAACAGTGGCAGTTTAGGGAAGATGGGCCATATTGTTGTTGGAATATCCAATTTTCTCCTGTCTGCCAAAACAACAAAAACAAAACAACCTAGAAGACTAAAAAAAATCCAGGAGAGGAATTGTGATTTGAAACTAGGGCTCTGGGCCAAGTGCGGTGGCTCATGCCCGTAATCCCAGCACTTTGGGAGGCTGAGGCAGGTGGATCACAAAGTTAGGAGTTCGACACCATGCTGGCCAATATGGTGAAACCCTGTCTCTACTAAAAATACAAAAATTTGCTGGGCATGGTGGCCTGTGCCTGTAGTCCCAGCTACTCAGGAGCCTGAGGCAGGAGAATCGATTGAACCAAGGAGGTAGAGGTTGCAGTGAGCTGAGATCATACCACTGTACTCCAGCCTTGGTAACAGAGTGAGAGTCAGTCTCAAAAGAAAAAACAAACAAACAAACTAGAGCTCTGGTTTAAAGCCAAAAAAACTCAGTTCACACTAGCTTAAGGAAAAGGGAAGGTCAGAGGGTGTTCATTAGCTCATGTATTTCTTTTCATATCCATGGGATGTCCCAGACATGACTGATCCAGGCCTGGGACTAGGTACCATCACCAGGTGTCCACTTCTGCCTCTTGACTCTGCCATATTAACTTGATTAACTTGCCACTCCAATGGAGTGGCAAGAAGAGCCATCAGTACCTTCAGACTTATGTTCTACCATGTAGCAAACCTGGCAGAATCTCCTGATGGTTCCAGCTCTCTAGTACCCAGCATGGGGTGCTATGTGCATTCCTAACCCAATCATGGTAGCCAAGAGACTGGAATGTATTCATTGGCCAGGCTTCAGTCACCCACCCAACAGATTAATGGATAAAGAAAATGTGGTATATATATATATATACAATGGAGTACTATGCTGCCATAAAAAAGCATGAGATCCTTTCATTTTCAACAACATGGATGGAACTGGAGGTCATTTTGTTAAGTGAAATAAGCCAGGCACAGAAAGATAAACTTTACATGTTCTCACTTATTTGTAGAAGCTAAAAATTAAAACAATTGAACTCATGGACATATAGAGTAGAAGGATGGTTACTAGAGGTTAGGAATAATAGTGGGTGAGGGGAAATGGGGATGGTTAATGGGTACAAAACAATAGAAAGAATGAATGATACCTATTGATAGTACAACAGGGTGACTATGGTTGATAATAATTTGATTGTCCACTTTAAAAGAGGCTGGATGCAGTGGCTCATGCCTGTTATTCCAGCACTTTGGGAGGCCGAGGCAGAAGAATCACCTGAGGTCAGGAGTTCAAGACCAGCCTGGGCAACATGGTGAAACCCCACTTCTACTAAAAATACAAAAAAATTAGTCAGGCATGGTGGCACGCACCTATAATCTCAGCTACTGAGGAAGGTGAATCACTTGAACCCAGGAGACAGAGGTAACAGTGAGCCAAAACCAAACTGCTGCACTCCAGCCTGGGCAACCCAGTGAGGCTCCAACTCAAACTAAAAAATGAAATAACTAAAAGAGTAAAATAGATTGTAACAGAAAGTATAAATGATTGAGGGGATGGATACCTCATTTAACCTGATGTGATTATTATGCATTGCAGGCCTGTATCAAGATATCTCATGTCATCTAGAAATATATACATCAGGCTGGGTGCAGTGGCTCATATCTATTATCCCAGCACTTTGGGAGGTTGAAGCAGGAGGATCCCTTGAGGTCAGGAGTTTGAAACCAGCCTGGCCAACATGGTAAAACTTCATCTCTACTAAAAATATAAAAATTAGTCAGACATTGTTGTGTGTGCCTGTAATCCGAGCTACTCAGGAGGCTGAGGCAGGAGAATTGCTTGAACCCAGGAGGCAGAGGTTGCAGTGAGCCCAGAGTGAGCTGAGACTGTGCCACTGCCCACCAATCTGGATGACAGAGCAAGACTCTGTCTCAAAAAAATACACACACATACACACACACACACACACACACACACACATATAATACAACTAAAATTAAAACAGAAAAAATTTTATATATGTATATAAATATATATACATATATACACAATGTGTGTATATATATATATATATATACCTTAATTTTTATATATATACCTGCCTCAGCCTCCTGAGTATATATTTATAAATATGTATAAATAAATATATACATATATACCTAAAATTAAAAGTAAATTTTTTAAATAAAAAAAAGAAAATTCAGGTGTTTATGACCAGATGACAGGCAGCAGATGCAAAAATCATGGTGACATGGCAGCAGGAGCTTTGCCATTTGGACCAGATCTTCTGTGTCCTTGAACAAGGTGCTGCCGCCTCTCTGAGCCTTGGTTTCCTCATGAGTCAAAGGAAGTAAGAAAACCCCAGCTGATGAGACTGTGCATGGCAAGAGTCTCCTGCATGTGCTCAGGGCAGAGCCAGTGCTCAATAAAACCAACTCCCGTCTCTGCAAACCAGAGAACACTGGCCAACAGGGAGCAGGGTTGAAGATTGTGGTAGAGGTTGGAATGGGGAAAGGATTTTCTTTGTGGCATGAAGAAGAAGGTAAAGTGTTTCTTCATCTCATTTTCTCAGCAGCTGTGGCCAATCATCACGTGGCTAAGGACAAACCCCAGACACAGCCCTAGCCCACCATTTGTACAGACATAATATTATAAATTGTGTGTTTGAAATATAGGACCTGCTGGGTGTGGTGGCTCATGCCTATAATCCCAGCACTTTGGGAGGCCAAGATGGGCAGATCACTTGAGGTCAGGAGTTTGAGATCAGCCTGGCCAACATGGCGAAATCCCATCTCTACTAAAAATACAAAAAAAAATTAGCCAGGCGTGGTGGTGTGCACCTGTAATCCCAACTACTTGGGAAGTTGAGGCAGGAGAATCACTTCAACCTGGGAAGAAGTTACAGTGAGCTGAGATCACATCATTGCACTCCAGCCTGGGTGACAGAGTAAGACTCTGTCTCAAAAAAGTAAAGAAAATGAGGATGACTAAGAATGCCAGCACTCTGGCTTTCAAATGCTCTTGCCCTGGTCCCCAGCATGGGCACAGACCCGGCATCAGAAACCTTTTCTTTCCTCTGAGCACCCTCCTCTGCCTGCATGCCTTACCTTCTGCTTTCTCTCCCACAGGGCTTGCAGAGTGACCTGGTCCAGCACCTGTCCACCTATCTGTGCTTGTCTCTAGTGGTGGCACAGTTTGTGCTGTCCTGCCTTGCAGATCAACCTTCCTTCTAACCTAAAGACCCTCATCAGTCTGTAAGTCACCAAGTTCTAACCTCATTCCTGTTCCACTTTGAGGTCTCAGTCCCCTTCATGTGACCAAAAGTCTAATTTTTTATTTATTTAGCCATTCAGCAAAATGTGAATTGCATTTCTACTTGATGCCACCATTAGCAGACTTTTTCTGTATGGGGCAAGAGACTCTGTGAGCCATACAGTGATCTCCGTGGCAACTCCTCAACTCTGCCACTGAACACAAAAGCAGAATATGTCAACAAGTTGCATGGCTGTGTTGCAATAAAACTTTATTTGCAGCAACAGGCAGTGGGCCAGATTTGGTCATAGTTTTCAGAACCCCTCTATGCCCCAGCAAGGGCTTAAGGATCTATGGTGAACAAGCAGATAGAGTTCCTGTTCTCATGTGACTAGTGGTCAAGTAGGGGAACCAGACATTACTTACATAATTAAATATGTTGAAAATTGGCTGGGCACAGTGGCTCGTGTGCCCAGAATCCCAACACTTTGGAGGCCAAGGCAGGTGGATCACCTGAGGTCAAGAGTTCAGGACCAGCCTGGCCAACATGGTAAAACCCTGTCTCTACTAAAATTAGAAAAGTTAGTAGGGCATGATGGCACATGCCTGTAATCCCAGCTACTCGGGAGGCTGAGGCAGGAGAATCACCCTGGAGGTGGACGTGGAGTAAGCTGAGATTGCACCATTACACTCCAGCCTGGGTAACAAAGCAAAACTCCATCTCAAAAAAAAAAAGAAAGAAAAGAAAAATATCCCTGGGGTAAGTGCTCTGTAGGAGAAGTTCATGAGAGTTTTACAACAGGTAACACTGAAGCAATCTTTGAAATCAAGAAATAATTCTTTTGAGGAAGAGACTGATCGGATGTCATATAAACAGATGTTCAGATGGACCGGGTGCAATGGAGCATGCCTCTAACCTTAACTCTAATCTTAACACTTTGGGAGGCTGAAGAAGGAGGATTTCTTGAGTCCAGGTGTTCTAGATCAGACTAGGTAATGTAGTGAGACCTCATATCTACAAAACGTTTTTAAAAAAATAACCAAATGTGGTGGTGCACACCTGTAGTCCCACTACAGAGTAGCGCTGTGGAGGCTGAGGCAGGAGGATTGCCTGAGTCCCAGAGGTAAAGGCTGCAGTGAGCTGTGATTGCACCACTGCACTCCAGCCTGGGTAACAGAGCAAGACCCTGTCTCAAATAAAACATTGCTCAAATGCTTAAGAAATATAGTTAAAACTATCATAGGAATCTTTCTTCACCTACCAGAGTGGCAACAAAATTTAAAAGTTGATAAGCTGTGATGGCAAATACGTGGGGAAATGGGCACCGTCATGCCTTACTGGTAAACAGTACAGACTGGTGTAATCTCCCTGGAGCACCTGACAAAATCACAGGCCATGTCTCTCTCCACAGCATTTGCTGAGGGATATTGTCAAGGATCTCATTGTCTTCATTATGCAGGGTCCCTGCTTTGAGAAGCAAAGCAAAGTTTTGGTTTTAGTATAATCATAGTTGTTCTTCTGAGCCATGGTTACTTCTTACCTTGTGGACATTGTCAGTCCTGTGGCCCAGTCCCTTTTTGCCCTGCCTGCTGGCAAGCAGCAAGCTCATTGGTGTGCACCTTTGGGAAGGAGATAGGGCACCACCACGTGTACTTTCAGTACTAAATACACAGTCAGGGCTGGGTGCAGTGGCTCACGCCTGTAATCCTAGCACTTTGGGAGGCCAAGGTGGGCAAATCACTTGAGGTCAGGAGTTTGAGACCAGCCTAGCCAACATAGTGAAACCCTGTCTCTACTAAAAATACAAAAAAATTAGCTAGGTGTGGTGGTGTACACCTGTAATATCAGCTCTTTGGAAGGCTGAGACAGGAGAATTGCTTGAACCTGGGAGGCAGAGGTAGCAGTGAGCCAAGATGACACCACTGTACTCCAGCCTAGGTAACAGAGCAAAACCCTATCTCAAAAAAAAAAAAAAAAAAAAAAAATACAAAGTCAGTTCATCCTGTCTTCCTTCCCTTCCCACATACTCACCATGGGATGTGAGACCAAGGCTTCTGCCTTCTCCACTTTTGTCTGTTACAGAACCCCTGTCCAGAAGTGGGGGCATCTTTCCCTCTCCAAAACCTTGTTCTAGTGGGTTTCTGGGCAAGTAAAGTCACAGGGAAGGGTTGGGGGGGGTGCCTCACCCACCTGCATTTGCTACAGTAATTCCCACTTATGGCTCTTCCCCTGAAAGATCTCCCCATGCTCACAACGGCCAGCCAGGCTTTCTCCATTCCAGCCTCGGTGCTTTCTTCTTTGCTTCTTCATGTTTGGTGTCCACTGTCTGCATCCCGTTCCCACTCACTTGCTGGAGTGAGATCTGGATTCAAATCCTACCTCTGCCTCTTAGCAGGCCATGTCACAAACCCCCGGAGTCTCAGTTTTCCCCTCTGTAAAATGGGGATGACTCAACCTTTATAAGTGGGAAAGTGCTTAGTGCTGGCACACAGCAGGTGCTTAATAGTAACAGAATTGTCTCCACTACTTGGCTTCAGTCATTCCACCAGCATTTAATAAGCACCTACTATATGCTAAGCACCAGGGGCAAGGAGATAAAGGAGGAAGTGTCTACTTTCTGGAGGTTTCCAGGCAAGGAGGAACCAGCTGCCTCTCTGTGGCCAGCTCAGCAGGCACTTGAGGCTGTGCCCCCTCCTGACCACACCAGAAACACCGGACATGTAGAGTTGAATACTGGCCCTACCACTTCCTAGCTGTGTAGCTTTGGGCAAGTTACTTAACCTCTCTGTGCCTCAGTCTCTATTCCTTCAAAATAGGATTAATAATAGCATTACTTCATAGGGTTGTGAAGATTAAATAAGTTAAGGCCATAAAGCACTTAGAATAGGACCTAGCACATAATGAGTGTAAGTGGGTAAACATTTATTTTTAAATTTTCTTTTGAGATGGAGTTTTGCTTTTGTTGCCCAGGCTGGAGTGCAACGGCGTGATTTTGGCTCACCGCAACCTCCACCTCCCAGGGTCAAGCAATTCTCTTGCTTCACCCTCCCAAGTAGCTGGGATTACAGGTGCCTGCCACCACACCCAGCTAATTTTTATAGTTTTTTGTAAGGCAGGGTTTCACCTTTTTAGCCAGGTTGGTCTTCAACTTCTGCCCTCAGGTGATCTGCCTGCCTTGGCCTCTCAAAGTGCTGAGATTATAGGTGTGAGCCACTGTGCCTGACTCACCCTCTACTTTTAAATGACTTTATAGCAGTGGCAGAATTCAGTCCACAGGGGCTCTGGAATGAGCCTCTGCCAACTCCTGGCACCCCCAATCAACATGAAAATTACAGGTCACCCAACACTAGAATTAAAAGGTAGAAACATTCTCCAGAACGGTTTGAGAATCCTCCCATAAACAACTGGCAGAAAGGAAGGGGAAGGTTGGGGTTATACAAAGACCAGGCTCCGTCAGCTTCTGAGCCAACCGACTGTGCCCAGAGAGAACTTTGGTTTTTTTGCCTGAAACATTTTCAACCAGGGAGAGGCCATCCTCCTGAGAGGTCATGCAGCAGCCACCTGCTGGTCAGCTCAGCTTCACAAGGTATGTTTGGTACACAAATTATGGTTGTTTGTATTGTTTTGTTTTTAAATAAGCTACCAATATTTAAAAATTTGGAGAGATCACATAAAAATCTGGAATCCAAGGCTGGGTGCACTGGCTCACACCTGAAATCTCAGCACTTTGGGAGGCTGAGGCAGGCAAATCACATGAGGTCAGGAGTTCAAGACCAGCCTGGCCAACATGGTGAAACCCCGTCTCTACTAAAAATACAAAAATTAGCTGGCTGTGGTGGCGAATGCCTGTAATCCCAGCTACTGGAGAGGCTGAGGCAGAAGAATCACTTGAACCTGGGAGGTGGAGGTTGCAGTGAGCCGAGATCACGCCACTGAACTCTAGCCTGGGTGACAGAGTGAGACTCTGTCTCAAAAAAATAAATATTGGTCTCTCTTAAAGTAGATTTGGCAACACTAGGCCACATCTTCATATGGCAGTAGGAGATTGGATTCAGGTAGACTCTACAGCATTTGACAAGGTGTGCAGATTTCAGTTAGCCACAGTCCCCATCTCTTTATTTCCTTCTCTCTCTCTTTTGCTCTTTTGCTCCCTCTCTCCTCCTCCCTCCCTTTCTTCCATCCTTCCTTCCTTAATTCCTTCCTCCCTCCCTCCCTCCCTCCCTCCCTCCATTCCTTCCTTCTCTCTGCTTCTGTCACCCAGGCTGGAGTGCAGTGGCACCATCTTGCCTCATTGCAAGCTCCACCTCCTGGGTTCAAATGATTCTCCTGCCTTAGTCTCCCAAGTAGCTGGGACTACAAGTACCCACCACCAGATCCAGCTAATTTTTGTATTTTTTATTAGATGCTGGGTTTCTCCATGTTGCTCAGGTTATCAGGCTGGTCTCCAACTCCTGACCTAAGGTTATCTGCCCTCCTTGGCCTCTCAAAGTGCTGGGATTACAGGCGTGAGCCACCACACCTGCCTCCACCACTCGCTTTTGTATCCCCCAACTCATACCTTGCACATGCCACTCATGCATACCCCTGCCTTTCCCCACAGTCATTTGTGAGTCCTGCACTAAATGGCCTTCAGTCCAGAGACCAGACATCAGACAGCAATCTGGACCTCTTCCTTGATGGGAGGTGAGACCTCCAGGAGAGGAAAACGCCTGCTATGGAGTCTGCAGGCTGAATACAGTGACTCTCTGGGCAAACAGCTAGAAGAGAAGTGAACAAAATCTCCAGCCAGAAAGAAAACTTCCCAGTCAACTCTTCCCTGTCCCCGTTTTACAGATGGAAACACTAAGACTCAGAGGAGAGGAGACAGAGCAGGCACTGGAACCATAGTCTCCTGGCTCCAAAGTCAAGTTTTGTCCACCCCACCAGGCTCCTTCCTTCCTTCTATAAATGCTTTTAACAGTATGTGCTGGACACTCTTGTTAGGGCCTTTTACACATATCACTCAGTCTGCTTTTCCCATTCATTTGACAAGTGTTTATTGAGCTCCTACTGTGTGCAGGAGCTGGACTTGATACTAGGGACATCTTGTTAGAAAACTCAGGCAAAGTCTACCCACCTGGGGTTCTAACAAGACAAAGAGAGTGTTGGAGCTGTGGGCAAGGCTGTGAAGGCAATGAATGAAATGGCGGGGTCAGAAAGGAAGGGCGGTCAGGGATGCTCTCTGCATGGAAGGGGCATCTTCTTGGCTTTGAGACCCAAATGCCAAAATACCTGTGAGCAGCAGGCCATGCCCACTCAGTGACAGAGCTGAGCCACAACCCTCCATAGATGCCAAACCAAACACCAGATCAGGCCAGCAGTGATGGACAAAGACCTTGGTCTGGAAGGGTCTTGCCACCTGAGCTCACAAGGGGATTTTTGTTATGCTCCTTATTATTATTATTATTATTATTATTATGGCGGGGTTGGGGGTCTTTGGTGCACAATAAACACTCTGGGAACCATAAGTCAAGATCTAGGCTCCAGTGCCTGCTCTGCCCTTGCTGTTTGACCTTGGGATGCTATCACCACCTCTCAGAACCTCAGCTTCCTTCCCCTTCTGTAAAATGGAGAGTCTAATAATACCCACCTGGCAAGGGAGTCCAGGGAAGTCAATGAGCTCCTTCGTGTAAAGAGCTGATGTCTGCATGTGGCCCTGGGTCACAGATTTGTAATGGGGATTGAAATTACTGATAAGTGGCCAAGCATGGTGGCTCACACCCATGATCCCAGCACTTTGGGAGGCTGAGGCAGGTGGAGCACCTAAGATCAGGAGTTTAAGACCAGCCTGGCCAACATGGTGAAACCCCATCTCTATGAAAAATACAAAAATTAGTTGGGCATGGTGGTGTGTGCCTATAATCCCAGCTACTCGGGAGGCTGAGACAGGAGAATCGCTGGAACCCAGGAGTTGGAGATTGCAGTGGAGATCCACTGCCCTCCAGCCTGGGCAACAAGAGTGAAACTTTGTCTCAAAAAAGCAAGCAAGCAAGCAATTACTGATAACCTTATAGATTCTCAGAGGACACAAGGGACTCAGAGTGGGGACCACACCCATCCTCACACACAGAGACGGGAGCAGTCTACCTACCCAAGACCACAGAGCAACTGGTTGTCAGCAGCTGCATCTCCACAGTCTCCCCATTATGGCTTCTGACCTGCCCTAGAGCAGCCCTTGGGCTTCCCCCTACCACCTCCTCTCCCTTCCTCACTTTAGCTCTTTTCTGTGGCCCCTGGTTATGACCAAAGCCTGGGGATCTTATGAGTTTGAGGCAGCCTGAGCTTCTGTCTGTGCTTTCACCCAGAGCCAGAGCATCAGGTCCATGTACATCAGCTGTGATTCTCTGCTGCTTCAAAACCACCTAAGGTCTGGCTGGTTGTGTGTGTGGAAGAGGGGGTACTTTTCTTTCTCCAGGATGACATGATAGATTGAAAAGTACATGGGAGGCTGGGTGCAGTGGCTCATGCCTGTAATCCCAGCAATTTGGGAGGCTGAGGTGGGTGGATCACCTGAGGTAGGAGTTCAAAACTAGCCTGGCCAACCTGGTTAAACCCCATCTCCTAAATGTACAAAAATTCACTGGGGGTGGTGGCATTTACCTGTAATCCCAGCTACTCAGGAGGCTGAGGTAGGAGAATCACTTGAATCCAGGAAGCGGAGGTTGTAGTGAGCCGAGATCACACCACTGCACTGCAGCCTGGGTGACAGAGTGAGACTTTGTCTCAAAAAAAAAAATTAAAAAATAAAAAGAAAAGTGCATGGGCTCTAGAGGCAGAGATGGAATTGAATCCAAGCTTTTACTTCTCAGCTGTGTGCCCTTGCACAAGTTCACTTCTCTGAGCCTCAGTTTTCTCATCTGTGAAATGGGAATATCTGGCTTCTAAGGGATCTTAGGATGACTGGGGAATGCCTGGCACGTGGAAGGTGCTCAACCTGTGTGCTTTCCCATGGCCATCTAAGAGGCCTCAGGGCTGCCCTCCTGCCCTCCCCCACAACTCCTGTGACTGCCTCTTAAATAGCTACTCCAGGTGATAAGGAGGAAGAAGTGAGGGAGCCAGGCTAGATCCACACCCACCCATGCCCCTTGTTAGGAAAACAAGCCTTTAATGCCTGGTCCTGCTGCTTTTGGCTGAGAGTATAAAATGGGACCCAGAGCCAACCTCTCCCTTTCTCTAAGGCACACCAAGGCAATAGTGTTTAAAAGGAAAGGAGGCAGTGGCATGGAGACTCCAGAGACCGAGCCCTTCCTATGGCAAGAAAGGAGCTAGTGGAGCCCACTGCTGAGGGCCATCTGGCTGGTGTTCCATTCTGCCTTCCTCCTGGGGACCCACAGCCTCGTCATCAGTGATGTCTTCAGGTTCACTGTCCCCAAGCTGCTTAGGTGAGTCCAGACTTCAGGTGCTCTGCTAAGGCTGGTGGTCTCTTACTGGCATCCCTCCAGGGTCAGGGGGCTTCAGCTCTCCTGCCTCTGCCTATAGATCTGGTGCTTGGGACACTGGAGCGTAGGTGAGAAGGATACTGAGGAAGGGAATTGATTAATGAGAAAGTGACTGACCCCCAGAAGGGCAAATAAGCAAGCTGTTACCTGACTGCATCAATTAGCTTTTACTATAAAATGCTCCAAAAGTGAGTGACTGAAAATTACAAGCATTCATTTATTTAATTCATGGTAATGTGGGTCAGTAACATGGGCTGGGCTCAGCTGGGTGGGTCTTCTTTTCTTGGCTGGGTTTTCTCATGTGCCTGCAGTTGTGTATCTGAAGCTGGAATGGCTGTCTCTGTTCCATGAGGGTTCCCATCCTCCAAAAAACTAGCTCAGACTTGTTCATGTGGCTGCTTGGGAGGGTTCTAAGCAGTAGGCCAAAAGCCACATTTTCTCCTGAGGCTCACAACTGGCATAGCTTTACCTCCACTGTACTCTGTTGGTCAAAGATGGTTTTGTGGCCAGCCCAGATTCAAGTGGTGTCTGCTCAGCTGCCATAACAGAGCATCACAGACTGAGTAGCTTCAACAACAGAAACATATTTATCTCATGATTCTGGAGGCTGGAAGTTCCAGATCAGGTATCTGCAAGTTGGTTCCATCTGGGCCTCTGCCATTGTCATGCAGCTGGCCACCTCCTCTGTGTCATCATATGGTCTTTCCTCTGTGTGCGCTCTGGTGTCTCCCTGTGTGTCCGCATTTTCTCCTCTTATAAGGACCCCAGTCAGACTGGATGAGGGCCCAGCCTAATGACCTCATTTTAACTTCATTCCCTCTTTAAAGGCCCTATTTCCAAATACATTCACATTCAGAGGCACTGGGGGTTGGGGGACATACAAATTTTGCGAGGACACAATTTAGCCCATAACAAGTGGGGAGAAAAACACCCTCTCTTGATCTTGAGTAACTGCAGTAAGATTGAAAAGAAGCATGGACAGTGGGGGAAATAACCGAGATCATGATTGCAAAAAAGTCAACCACTCTGACTGATCCTCCACACCTGGCCTGGTTTGGGCAAAGGCAACACACATCGGCACGTCCTCTCACCGGCTGTACCTTTTCTTTCCCCTGCGAGCCTTTTCTTGGGTTTATTGGTGATCCCAAGCCTCCAGCCTGGAAGGACTACCTCCTTGCCATGCTGATGTTCCTCTCGGCCTGCCTGCAAACGCTGTTTGAGCAGCAGAACATGTACCAGCCCAAGGTGCTGCATATAAGGCTGTGGTCAGCCATCACTGGCCTGGTGTATAGAAAGGCGAGCCCCGGGGTACAAGGGCAGACCTTCCAGCTGGAAAAGGAAACATCACTTAGCTGGTTGGTAGTAATGTTATCAGCAGCTGAGAATGCGTTCAGTCCTTACTTATTCGTGTCACTCATGATATAGTCTCACTTCTTTTGTTATTTCTTTTTATTTACATGTATTTATTTTTTTGAGACAGAGTCTCGCTTTATTGCCCAGGCCGTAGTGCAGTGGTGCAATCCCTGCTTACTGCAACCGCCACCTCCTGGGTTCAAGCAATTCTTCTGCCTCAGCCTCCTGAGTAGCTGGGACTACAGTCACATGTCACCGTGCCTGGCTAATTTTTGTATTGTTATTAGAGACAAGGTTTTGTCATGTTGGTCAGGCTGGTCTCGAACTCCTGGCCTCAAGTGATCTGCCTCACCTTCTTAGGTCTTTCTGTAAGGTCTTGTGTGATGTGCTCCTGGGACCTCTCTGACCTAATCACATCTCACACACATGCCTCCTCCCATACTCACTCTCCAGATGTATAATGACATGTATCTATTATTTTTATAGGATATAACAGTTTCACTGCCCTAAAAATTCTCAATACTATGCTTGTTAATCTCTCCCTTTCTTCCTAGGAACTCCAACCACTGATCTTTTCTATCTTCATAGTTTTACTTTTTTCAGAAGAGTCATATAGTTGAAATAATACAGTGGATATATTTTTGATTAGTTTAAAAATTTAAGTTCTGTGGTAACTGAATGTGGTCATTTAAGATATACTTTGTCCTTTGGTTTTTATTTTTTATCATAAGATCGGATGACATGTGCTTTACATATTTAGAAAACATGATTTGTGTAGATATTTACCACATAATGGAAAGGGCTGAGGAAAATGACACCGTGCATTACCACACAGCACATACTGGAGCATCTTGGTGTATGGGGTGGGTTCAGATAGACTCTCTGTTCCTTGGAAGGTGACAAGTTCAAGAGGTTGTACTTGATAAAACTGGAATCACAAAGTCTTCCATACATACTTTCAGTTGGAAATAAGACCAGGCAGTGAATGCTATAGGTAAATACCCATGCTCATCACGGATCCTCTTCCTTTGAGAAATGAGTTTGAAAACAGTCTGTATTAGGATGACATGACTCACCTATGGCTAGATTCTCTGTCATGAGGGACGGAAAGGAAATCACACAATTTTGCTTTATATGAAGTTAAAGAATTTTTTTCTTCTACTAGGGAGAGGGGAAAGCATTGGCACATTCTGGTAGCAAGAGGGCATTGATAGTTTTCTTTCTATATATTTTTCATATCAGATAGTACTGCCTGGCAGCCTGCCACACCTCCCCAGTGTTTCTTAAGCTTCTCTTTGAATGTGACGTGCGATTCAGAGTGGATAAGCTCTTAAAGGCGTGATCTTTCCAGTGGTTCTTTCTGTGGGAGGTAAAACGGCAGGCGAATTTGGGCCTTGTTATACGTAGAGCTGAGCATATAACTACAACTAAGTAAACTTTCCCCAGAAGAGTATTAGCCAGAGTAATACACTGATCTCTCTTGAGCTCTTCTCCACTGGCAGCTGGAAAGTTTTTGCAAGGATCCTTCTTTCTGGTCTGATTCCTGTTTTGCTGGCTTCCAGTGACAAGTTATTTTATCCAAACTGAAGAGTTTTAACTGCAGAGCTAGAGAGGCTGTATTGTGTTCAACAAAATAAGTGCAGTAGTTAAGACTACCAGTAAATGCCTGAAACCCCAAAGGTACTGAATCACATACCATTTTTTCTACACATATATATCTATGATAGCATTTAGTTTATAAATTAGGCACAGTAAGAAATTAACAGTAACTCATAATAAAATATATTGTTATGGTTCTCACCCTTTTCCTGTGATGATGTGAAGTGATACAATGCCTGTGTACTGAGATGAAGTGAGGTGAATGAGGTAGGCATTGTAATGCAGTGTTAGGCCACTATGCATCCCCTGAATCTAAGTCAGAAAAAGGAAGATGAGCTGTGAGTGACCCTGGATCTCCAGGCCTGAATGATGTTGATGGCTGGCAACAGAAGGGGACCGTGTTGATGACTAATGGGTGAACAGTATATGCAGTGTGGATATACTGAACAAAGGGATAATTCACATCCTGATCTGGATGAAGGGGGCTCAAGGTTTCATTGCACTTCTCAGAATAGTGCACTAAAGCTTATGACATGTTTAATTTCTGAAGTTTTCCACGTGATATTTTTCAAATACAATTGACTATTAGCTGTAACCACAGAAATAAAAACTGCAAATGTATAATCTATGTTTGGTCGTTGACTCATTTCTTGATGTACAATTCTTAAAATTGTTAGAAATTCCAAAATGTTGTCTTTTTGTATGCTAATAATTGATGGCTGGAAGCCCTCAACGTAGATTCAGGATGGCAACTTGTTGTTCTCATCAAGACATTGATTAGAGGGTTGAGATCTCCTACCTCTGCAGACTCTTGGGCGAAGAGAAAGCCTGAGGGTTTTCAGTTACCAACTGCCAGCTATTTACTTAATCAGTTGTGCGTATGTAATAAAAAGACCCAGAGGGACTGGGCTTAGAGAGCTTTCAGTTCACTGAATACATTGAAGTTCCTGGAGGATGTGTCCTGGGAGGGCATGTAATCTTCGTCCCACTTCTCCCACACTTTGCATCTCTTCATCTTACCGTTTGTAATGTTATTAATAGCAAACTGGTAAATGTGTTTCCCTGAGTACTTTGAGCCATTCCAGCAATTTAACCCAAAGAGGGAGTCCTGGGAACCTCAATGAACCCCAAATTGAAGCCAGTTGGTCAAAAATTTTGGAGTTTAAGATTTAGGACCGACGTAGGGAGGCAGTCTCATGGGACTGAGTCCTATACCTGTGGAATCTGATGCTATCTGCAGATAGAATATCAGAACTGAATTAGAGGACACCCAGCTTGTGTCATCTGCTGAAATGACTGCTTGCTTTTTGGTGGGGAAAAACCCTCCACACGTTTTCTCATGGAAGCCTTCTTTGTTGACGGTTGTTGCTGTGGTGTGAGAGCAGAGAAAAATATGGCAAGTATGTCTTTTCCACACATGTTGTGGATAAGGGAACTACTGTATACTCTGTTTTAACTGCCCTTCATATTTTGGTTCAGAAATCATGCTCTTTAACACTGGTCACTCATCACACCTGTTCTGATAACAATGCCATTTTTAGTCAATTTCATATGGTTTAAGATGACTTGTATAATGCAGTTTACTTGTAGATATCAAATTTTGATAAAATTTATTCTTTGCAATTAATAAATACAAAGTAAGGGAAGCAAGAGTTCTTACTGCACATACCAATAGGTATAATTTATATTAATTCTAAGAAGGTCTCAGGTATGCTCCCAGAGGAACGCTTTGTAACAAAGCATCAGTACTATACTTTAAAGAAAAATGGTCTAAAGCATGCACACAAGTGTGTGTAATTTTTTTATGAAGGTAGTGTCTTGCTATGTTTCCCAAACTGGTCTCAAACTTCTGGGTTTCTCAAGTGATCCTTCTGCCTCCATCTCCCAAGTAGTTGAGATTACAGGCATGCATGACTTTGCCTTCTTATGTTTTTAATATTCTATATATTTATTATTGATTTGCAATGCATTTTACCTTTTCCTTTAATAAATTCTGGCAGTTCTGACCCATCTGCAGTCAGGTAGGATTTTAAAAAATTTTATTAACTGAGGAAATATAGAGAGAAGAAACTAATATCTTTTGAGTATTGTATTCTGGGCTAACCACCCTATTATGTGCTATGCATTTATCTCATAAAGCCATCACAACATCTGCGTTCTTATAACCTACTGTTTATTAAATAGGCAACTGTGATTTAGAGAGGTTGGTTAATTGGCCCATGACCCCATAGTTAAAAAAGTAGCTGACTCACAGTTAAACCATCAGCCTTCCTGGCTTCCAAATCTTTCTTTTGCTCCTCAACATAGATGGATAAAGATCTGTGCAGCTGCTGGATCAAGATATATGTTAGAATCAGATTAATTAGTACAGTCAAATCTAGTTATAGGTTAACTCTCATTTAAGGTTATTGTGAGAAATGAAGTTGGTCTAAGAGTTTGTCCTAATAAATTCAACAATTGCAGTGGTAACCAATATCTTTACCATCAAAGGCTTTAGGGCAGGGTAAAGGTTTGGCCATAGGATTGTAAATTTTACAAAACCAAGATTAGACAAGTCTTAGAAATTATTTGACTTCCCAGTTTGGTTTTCCCTTTAGGCTAGTATTTCTGCCTTCCACAGTACTTTTTTTTTCAGTCGTGTTTTCCTTTTCCACTAGATTTCTATAACCTTCTCTGGATGTTTTAAAATGTTCTTCTCTGCTTTTGGTGTTTGTTTTGTTCTATTATTTTTCAAATTCTGCTGGCTTTGTATCCCCAGTTTTCCTGTAGACAATCAAAAGCATGAAGAGTTTCAGAATTTTAAGGAATCATAAGACTAATTAACCTCTAGTACTTCAATGTGTGTTAAACATTGTGGTCAAGTGTTTCTCTAGATAGGGAATCTGAGACTCAAATAGATTAGGATAGTTTTCTTTTTGGACATAGGAAGTGGCAGAAATGAGATTTAAACTCATTTTAAAGGCCTGTACTCACCCTTTTTTATTTTATTTTATGGGCATTTGTTGTTGTTGCTATGACAGAGTCTTGCTGTCTCACCCAGGCTTGAGTGCAGTGGTGCAGTCTCGGCTCACTGCAACCTCTGCTGCCTGGGTTCTAGCGATTCTCCTGCCTCAGCCTCCCAAATAGCTGGGATTACAGCGGTGCAAGGGTGGCTCACACCTGTAATCCCAGCACTTTAGGAGGCTGAGGCAGGCAGATTATGAGGTCAAGAGATTCAGACCCTCCTGGCTAAAATGGTGAAAATCTGTCAACTAAAACTACAAAATAAATTAGCTGGGCATGGTGGTGGGCGCCTGTACTTCCAGCTATTTGGGAGGCTGAGGTAGGAGAATTGCTTGGACACAGGAGGCAGAAGTTGCAGTGAGCCAAGATCCTGCCATTGCACTCTAGCCTGGTGACAGAGCGAGACTCTGTCTCAGATAATAATGATGATGATGATGATGATGATGATGATACAAAGGGGAAGGGAGTCTGGTGCACCCAGTGGATAAAATGAGGATGAAATTAACTGGTGAACACACTGGAATTGGCTAAAAATGGAATGAGCAGGGAAGGCTAGGTTTGAAGAGAAACAACACTGGATTGGATAGGAATACAGATTCTTCAGTAAGAGATCAGAATATTGGAGTTTATGACAAGTTTAATAAAGATAAATTACAAAGATGAAAACACAAGACGTTGGGAATTTACAAAGGCACATTAAAATAGAGGGTTCAAGGGAGCATTAAACAGATTCCTTTATTTTTTAAATCAATAACCGACAAACCTGAAGATTTTTACCGAGAGATACTAAAACATTTTGAGACACTGGGAAGAGTGTCTACAGCAGATAGAAATGTGGTATCATGTGCTTCCATTCTGACTTACAGAAGGGTGGCTTAGAGCTTCTTGAGTACTAGGGACTGGAGATTGCTGAACTACATAGATCTGTAGCCCAGGGCAGGTGCCTCCTCACCTCTGCTTCTTTTTATAATTCACTTATGGCCTTCCAATGTTCATGTAGGCTGGGTCAGGGGCATGAGTGACTGGCCAATTAGTCATGAAGTTCACTTGGGTAATTGGAGGTGTGTCTATGCTGAGGGTAGTTGACAGACACTCCAGTTGGCTTGTTATTCAGGAGCAGGGATATAGAGCGCTACTCTTGGTCATTTGAGGTCATTCTTTGAGGAATCTGTGCCTTCATAGATTGAAGATTTGAAGATTGGAGACTGCCATGGAGCCCTGCACAAGTAGAATTTGGAAGCCCATAGGAAGAAAGATAATTTAGACAGTACTTAAGGAAATAGAGGTTACAACTACCAGGACTCTATTTTTCAAGCAGTCTCTCTTTTTGGATATCTGAGTGCCTATGAAGTTTTGTTTTTTTTTTTTGAGGAGTCTCACCCCACCCAGGCTGGAGTGCAGTGGCATGATCTTGGCTCACCACAACCTCCGCCTCCAGGGTTCGAGTGATTCTCCTGCCTTAGCCTCCCTAGTAGCTGAAATTACAGGTATTTGCCACCACACCTGGCTAATGTTTGTATTTTTAGTGGCAACGGGGTTTCACCATATTGGTCAGGCTGGTCCTGGACTCCCAATCTGCCCACCACAGCCTACCAAAGTACTGGGATTACAGGCGTGAACCACTGCCGACTTGGGTTTTAAAAAATCCCTCTGGTCACGGGGTGGAGGATGGGCTGTGGGACATGGACAGGAGTGGGGTGGGACCAAGAGCAGGGGCAGGCATGGTAGGAAAGAGCCTATTTATTGCAAGAGCCAAGGCAAGAGGCCAAGCTGATGAAACTCTCAGACAGCAGCCAATTCTGTGTGTACGTGGGTGGACATGCATGCATGTATGTGCATGGTGTGAGTGTGTATGCATGTGAGCATGGATTACTTGGGTATGCATGTGCACTTGTGTGCATGGATGTGTGCCCACATTGTGTTGCTGTGCATGCTAGCATGCTTGTATGAGTGGGTAAATGTGCTTGCATGTGTGCAGGCTATGTGTGTGTGCTTGCTGTGTGTGTGCATGAGTGTGCACATGCACAGATGTGCAGGTTGGTTGCTCAAATAGCCAGACAAGGACAGGGAAAAGAACAGCCGCACACGTGCTCTTAGACTCCCAGAGCAGGAAAGCTCAGCTCCATCTGAGGCTCACCCTTCCTCAAAGATGGAGGCTGGGCCCTAACCAAGGTCATGTCTCCTTTTTTGTATTGAAAGAATAAACCTCACCATGCCCCAGGGCTTTTTCCTGGCTGTAGTCGGTCCAGTGGGAACACAGGAGTCCTCCCTGCCATCCTTCCTCTTTGGGGAGCTGTCAAAGGTGGAGGGGTTCATAAGCATCAAAGTGAGGCCACCCCCTGCCTGTTAGAATGTCCCCATCATCCTGAAAGTCCCCCGTCCTCACTGCCTTTCCACCCCTCATTATCTCAGCCAAGCTCACTTTCATTCATTCTCTCCACCACCCACTCACCGAGAGCCCAGCTCCCACTGCTCCTCAAAACCTGTCATACCTCTGTCCCCATCATCCTTCTGTGACCAAAGTAAGTTGTGTGTTAGTGTTCAGTGGCCTACATTCTCCAGGAGGCCTGGGTGCAGAACACCTCTGTGGTGGAGGAAGTGTGCC